GACACCCACGGAATGAATAGGGGTGATGACACTCTGTATTCTTAATCCGTCACCACAATAACTTATTTTTATTAACTAATGTATTTAAACATATAATTTTAACTTAACTCACGATTTTCGCAAACAAAAGTGGCAAATATTTTATTTTCTTCAACATTATTACAGAAATAATTCAATATATGGTTTGTTCGCGACATGCTAGCCTTCACCAATTCATCACTTAACACTATCTATTAACAAAAAATATCCCTATCTATTCACAAAATACCTATTAACAACGGACACGTCACACTCTTCAAAACTTAAATTACCTATACCTACTCTATAATTAAACTTCTTATTAGCAAATACTATATAGGTACCAATTCTATGAACAACTATAAATAATTTAACAAAACACTACGAGAAAACAAAGGCATTCAAAACAATAGCTAATCTTCCGGCCACTTGCTAAAGCTAAGTCGTAATAAACATATTAAAATATTCGGGAATAACAATTACAAATGAATGATTTTAAAAATATATTTATGCAATAAATAATCCTAAATACGTGCATTTCTTTTAAAATAGACAAAAAAGGCGTCTATGGACCCCCGGGGAGGGATGAAGTTATTTTCGAAGAAGATTAAGAGCTCAGCAGCATACGCAGTAAGAAAAATAGACTTGACTGATGTTGATACAGCACGAGTTGTTTACTTCAGTTATTTTCATAGCATAATGTCGTACGGTATTCTATTGTGGAGGAATGATGCCGACATTCAACAACATTGAGGAAGAAATAGGAATAAACTTGTTGTACCAGGCTCCAAAAGATAAACAAGTCATTTCGAGGTCAATGTGTCTGATTGTATAATAAAATCCCAAATAATATACAAGACTTAAGTACAAACAAATTTAAATCCGCAACACACATCATCACATCAACAGCCTTTAATAGTCCACTGCTGGACATAGACCTCTCCTTAGAAACGACTGGACAGAAGGACCACGCTGGCATAGGATTTGTATCAACTTTTCCTTTTCTCTGCGGTGCTGTCGTTCTGCGTAGTTTGATCCCTTAGTCGGCTCCTACGACACCCAAGGGATGAATAGGGGTGGTGACACTCTGTATTCTTAATCCGTCACCACACGGACACCGCAATAAAAATTTAAATTATGACAGATAGTCTACTACTTAATTGTGGATTATATGGTCGATAGGCTGTTTCGTAAGTGGAAATGTAGTGTGGGCTAGTGCGTTTTTATTTATTTTTTCATTTTCTTATGTTTTCGTCACTTTCGTCGTCGTTTTGTCACTTAGGTTAGAGAAGCTGCATTGATCTGCGTCCTTCCCAGAGTAGGGCATCTGAGGCCGCCTTCGGGGTGATGTCTAGTGGAAACAGTTGGGTGCCCCGGAGAACCGTTCTACCCACTAAACGTCGCCGTCTCGGCGGTCTACTTCGGCAGTCGAGAGGAGTTCCAGGAACGCATCGCTGGTTAGGTGCTAGACACTTTTTCAACTTGCACCCCATATGAGATGGCTCTCTTTGCCTCTATAATCCGTAATAAAGAACATACCGGGGATGTTAGATTGTGGTGAGCCAAAGCTGGTACAGATGTCGCTAAAAGCTGGTATTTGAAAAAAAGTTGGTACACTTACAATAACGTTATATTAATAAAAAAAATCATACCTGATTAAAAAATAATAATAATATTATAACTAATAATAATTAGTACCTGGATGACCGAGCTTTGCTCGATGTTTTTTTTTGTAAATTATCTAAAAATGAAAGCTATCTAACTCGATTAATCACCCCTGAACTGCATACAAAATTTCATGAAAATCGTTGCAGCCTTTTCCGAGATTCAGATTATATATATTCGTTGCGTAGAGTTTGAAAAGCGCTGCCGCCGGGTACGGGTGTTCAGAGCGTGATGGCCAGAGCGTGTTAATGACGCTTTACACGCCGCCAGAATATCCAGCGTGTATGGAGCAGCGGCATAACCTCGTGACTGATTGCGACCATGGCACGGACCGACTAACTCCTCCTGCGGGGATAAGTGGGACCGAGAGGAACTTAGAACCCTCTATTGGCTCAACAGGCCTCGGCAGGGTGTCCTTCAGCAGCCGAACGATGCTATGGTATGAAGCAGCATGCCAAATCATACCGCGTCCCGTCGTGGCATCTCCCAGAAAGCCCAGTCACTCAATAGGGCCGGCGCTGACGGACGTCATGACACGGTACAGCTTGGTAAAGGATTTTATTTCTGATCAAGTTCTTTTTATCCATATTTCCATGTGTTTAGAAATCATTTTATTTTACTTTTACCTTGTTGATACAACTACACCGCGACAAGTCTTGGTATATGACAGCCACACTAATTGAAATAAGGTTTATGCCGGATGTGGCGGTGATGTCGGCAAATGGGGTGCAGTCTGAGCTGGATGCGCAATATGGTGGTATGATAATCTGTAGAATGAAACCGCATGACACGATATGCTGCGACGTCCTGCAACATTCCACACTTTCGATTTCTAAACTTATAGAAATAAGGATAAAAATAACTTGATCGGAAATGAAATTCATAACCACCCCACCGGCTATCCAGTGGGGGATACGATAAAAAGGGGCACGGTATAAACGGGCGGCTTCATGGTTATTGCACGCGGGCGCTCGAACAGCTAGCGGCGGCCCTGCGCTGCCTTAGTGGTGTAATACGATACGTGAGGCCTCGGGTTCGATTCTCGGATCGTTTTTTCTAAAAACAAAAAGGAGCCTAAGTTACTCCTTATATAGACAACTACCTGGTAGTGAAATATTATCAAAATCGGTGCAGCCGTTTAAAAGATTACCCGGAACAAACAGACAGAAAAAAATAATTTAAACTGTTTTTTAGGCATAGGTATCTTGCAAAGAACCGTGTGAGCATGAAATAAACCTATTATTTTGACATTACAAACAGACACTTCAATTGTATTTATTTGTATAGAAAATATTTTTTTCGGAAGTTTTACTTCTGGCGTGTGTGAATTGCACACAGACACTTTTTTTATCATACATTTCATAATTTTTGAGTAAAACAATTTTTTTGTAGGTTATGTCTTCATCATCATCCACAGCCTTTACTAGTCCACTGCTGGACATAGGCCTCTCCTTAGAAATGAGGTTTTGGCCTACTATACCACGCTGGCCAGACGGGTTGGTATAGGGTCAAGTGCGACAGCTGTTTTGCCCGCGGCGGACTGTGTTTCCGCTGCGGTCGACCGGGGCATCAGGCGATAGAATGCTCAGCTGCCCCTCACTGCCCAGCGTGTGCGGCGGGTAACAATCCCGCCAATCACCAGATAAGGCAGGGAAGCTGCAAACCTCCCCACAATTCTCAGCAAACATCGGGGGCTAGCCAATCGGCCCAGGCTGCCTCCGACGTCATTCGTACAATTACGTCGTCGCCCATGGAGGAGGTTGTAGAGATGGTCCAGTAATGGACCAAGTCTCATACCTCCTTGTCCAAACAAACCTGAACCACTGAGACGGTGCGCAGGATCTCTTTCTTCAAACCATGGCGCAGTGGTCGATTGGTGTGGCCGTAGCCGCTAAGCAATATTATGTTCCTCTCCGTTCAAATTGGTTGGGTGACCGGGACGGCACCGTGGCAGTCGTAGGCTCTACGGCGGCTCATTATCCGCCCTTGTCGCTAAGAGACAAGGGCACTAGATATATTGCCGCCGAGGGGGGGGGGATCACCATATATGGTGTTTATTTCTCCCCCAACTGGAGTTTGAGCGATTTCGAAGTTTTCCTCAACAACCTGGAGACATCGATGCGGCGACTAGCGTCTGGGCACGTCCTTGTTCTGGGGGACTTCAACGCAAAATCCACTGCGTGGGGCTCCCCCACCGTGCGGTGCGCGGTGCTACGGTGAAGTCCCCGGGAGTCGGGACGGTTGCTGCGTAGCGGCTGCCTGCTGGGTAGACAGGAGAGATATGCTCTTCAGTGCAGTGTACTGTGCCTAGACGCTGGTGAGGCTGTAAGGGTAACCAGGCAATTATTTTCAGGTCCTAGTGAAACCGCTCCCCTTGTTCTTCGCTATAGAATCCAAGATTCTCTAAAAATTGATCCAGATGACTATAGAGGTAGTGTACATTTATGGACATATTACAACCTAAGTTCTTGAAGTTCTCTAGCATATCATTTACAATTCGTAAATAGTAATTTGACTTGTAATTTCCGAAAAAAAGAATTTAACCACACAAAACACACACACACACAACCACAACAAAGGATTTTTTCTTGCTATAAAAGAAAAACATTGGCCATTTTTATCTAGCGTCCTCTAGTCGATTCTAAGCTTGGATAAATTGTTTCTTAACGTTAACGCCACGCAAATTAACACAGCAGAAGTAACAGTCAGCGATGTGATTTTTTTGTTCTTTCTATTTCATTGGCACTCCGAATCTCATACGGCTTCTTTGACCGCTAACTAAACTATTTAAGGTATCCACGGCTTGTATTCATCCACAATTTTTTACTTAAAGTAAGAAAAATAAGCACTTTTTATAAAATCTAAAATAGATTTTCTATAGGTACTTTTTAACCACACCACAAATGTAACACAACACATTTGGCTCATTGAGACAACTTCTTGGCGGTGAAGACATGATGTTAAAATTAATTTAGTTGTAGAACAATACCGATAAGTTAGCTAACCGAGCGTATGAAAGTACCGATTACAGCCAATATTCAAAACTGAGGATAAATGGACACTTTATAAAAAACTATTAACGCTATCTCTGCACCAATTTTTTTGCCATTTGTTGACCAGTGTTATTGATAAGGTACAATGTTACAGTATTTTAATAATATTCGATATTCTATGGATAACAACGACGATCTTCTCTTGATATCCTATCGGAAAAAATAATGAATAATACAAACTTATTTGTGCCAAAGCTTGTTGAAAAATTTAAAACTTACTTGCCATAATGAAAAATTAATTTAAATGTCAACACGTGGTCATGAATGTACTGTTCAGATGTTGAAAATGTCGTCGTGGAACTGAGCGCTAAGCTCCCATTGGTCCAATTTGAAGCAGCTGCCTCGCTTACTTTTTGTCTTTTTCCTTCTTTACCCACCTCAAAGCTGACGAGTGCAGTTTATTATCCTGTTGATGATATCAAGTAACTATTTTATTATAACTACTATAACTTATACTATTCTTGAATATATTTTCTATTTGAGACGTAAGTACTTAAACATTGATAATACGTTGTGATACTACATGACATTATTCAAATAATAACCTCAAACGTAATCGAAATTTAAAAGTTTAGTCTGCCGCCTCGTCTCTAATTTGGTTTTTTAGTCAATCACAGGCTATTTGAAATTTCTACTTACTTCTTTTCATTCAAAAACACACTTAAAATGATAATAACTACAATTGTATATGATAATTTTTAATGTATGAAATAAATTAGTTCTTAGATCTCATTGAACTTACAGCAAGTACCTGTATAAATCAGTAACCGTAATCTTATTTCAATCATTACCATTTCAGAATGTCTGCTCTAGTACATGAAAAAGTTTGGTTGGATAAGAACATCTACAATGATGCCGAACGGAAATACTATGAATCGCTGTCAAAGGTTGGTAATATATTTGTATGACATAAATAATTTATGATATACCATATCCTGCCAACTTTGATAAATTTTGTACAAGTTATTACTTTGTTACAACTTTGTAGGTTCATGGTACTCCACTTTCAGTAGCTTGCACTTCTTTGGCCAGTGAAGTTGCCAAGGCTAGACAACATATCAAAGATTCTTTAGAATGTGTGAGTAAATTATACCCTAGACTAATTATTGTTCACACAAAAAATTTCTAAGAGACTACTTTGTTTCTTTTTTATTAAGATTTATGTTTACTTCATTAGTGATGTTTACAATTTCTGCTTCTAAATTTTCAAATGCAATTTAATCATTAGCATGTTTTCTAAATACTTATGGCTATATTACAGATGGATAGTGTTGCCACACTAGCAGGAGTTCCAAACACAGAGCTCACCACTAAAGTTAACGGTCTAGAAAAAGAGAATAGTGATCTTAAGAAAGCCATTGATGATCTCCGTAATTTGGTTATAAGCCTTCAAGCTAGAGTGGAAACATTAGAATCAACAGGTAGTGGGGGAAAAACTATATCTTCTCAGGTAAGTAATGTTTTACATTAGTAAACAATCTTAATATCAATACAAACTACTTTATTATATTTGTATGCTTTTAGGTAACATCTAATGCAGCAGCAGCTAAGCCCCAAGATGATGATGATGATGATGGTGTAGACCTTTTTGGCTCTGATGATGAAGAAGAAAGTGCAGAAGCTGCAAGAATTAGAGAAGAACGTCTGGCTGCATATAATGCTAAAAAAGCTAAAAGTAAGTCTTACTTTTAATCAGTTAAGTTATGTTTGTTACATGTGCTGTATAAAAAGTGAGTGTGATATGGCTAGTGTTCCCATAAATAAATATAACAATGTTATACCTTAAGTAATAGATAAAATCTACATTAACTCTAGATATGCTGCAGGCAAAGACTAATATAATTTGTATCTGTATCCAGAACCAGTTCTTATTGCAAAGTCAAATATTATATTGGATATAAAACCATGGGATGATGAAACTGATATGGTAGCTATGGAAAAAGCAGTCAGAGAAATAAATACTGAAGGTCTTCTGTGGGGTGCTGCTAAACTTGTACCATTAGCATATGGTATCCACAAGCTACAGATTTCCTGTGTTGTTGAGGATGACAAAGTTTCTGTTGATTGGTTAACTGAAGAAATTGAGAAAGTTGAAGACTTTGTAAGTACTTAATAGTAATATAAATTATAACCCTGCTTTGGTAACTACTAATTATTGGTAAATAAGGTTTTTTAAGGTAAAATTAATAATCTACAAAAAGAAATAAACAGTTTCATTACTAGCAAATAGTTTTCATCAAAAAAGTTATGATCATCAGTGCACTGATAAATATAACACTCAATAAAATTTTGCAACATACAATTTTTATTTAAGCTTACAGTATTGAATATTTAGAAACTGTATCAGTAATTATTATAATTAATCAGCAATCATTGTTATTATCAAATTTGTTGATAAACAGATTTTCCCCATGGCCCTCCCAGATTTTTAAATCATGTCACACTTTATAGTTTTTATCATTAAAGTTATCAGTAATAAAAATACACCATTATATGTCAATTTTGGCATGTCTGTTTCTCCTTGTTTTCTGACGATTTTTTAATATGCATACAGTGGTAATGATTCGAATGATCTTCTTTATTGAGTTGAATTCTTTTAAACTCCAACTGAAAATAGCTCATCTTTCAGTGTTAGGGTGATGATGGCTTTATGATGTTGATTATAATTATTGATGTTTGTGTGACGTTATATCACTTACGTTTTTGTTACTATAATTCTAGCCTTTTTTTAGTGTCTAGTGTACCGCCACCACCCCGGCCTGCTTCTGCTAGGGTGACAGATGGCCTCACCTACAACCCCCAGGCCTGCGCTTATGGAGGACGGAGGTCATTCTGCGACCTCCGGCGCCTGAGTCGTCTGCGGTACCTGGCCCGTTGCCGGTCCTGGCGCTCCGGGAGAGTTCTAAACCTCTCCCGGTCTCGCTCCGCCATCTCCTTACCAAGCATAACTTGCTCGCAGAAGGAGATGGCGGAGTTCCACGAACCCTCGCTCCGTACCATGGCGGCAATCATGTTACCAAGCGAGAGAACTCCCACTCCGATGGCCGCCACGAGGCAACGCCTCTGCTCCACCCACGCCGGGCATTCTGCCAGCGTATGTAGCGTTGTGTCCACGGTTCGGCCATCGCAGTGGTGGCACTCAGGCGTTGGCTCCTTGCGGATCAGACACAGGTGATCTCCAAAGCATCCTCTCCCGGCAATCACCTGTGTCAACCGGTATGAGAGGGTTCCGTGATGCCTCTCGAGCCAATCCTCCATAACGGGTCTTACCGCCGCGATAACGCGATTTCAGTTTTAATATTCATTATTAGTCGATCGACTTGGAAAGTAGTAATGAACTGATCATTCCTTCATTATCTTATATGAATGAAACGCGTCCGTGGGCGTTTCGGCGGCCGCTGCGCACCGCTGACGCTAACAGCAGCTGATAAAAGTATACCTATAGGCGCGAGCTAGCGAGTACTTACGTAGATAGACTCCAATTTGTCCTTCATACTTTACACGGGCTTAGGACCGTCGGAAATACCTATTTTATTTAAACTTCTTTTCGATTATTAACCACGATTGTTCTTTTCACAACAAATCAATTTATCAACGGACTGTAGGTATAAATATTTCAGGCGTATTTAAAAAATCGGAGGTAGGTGTGGAGGGAATTTGAGGGCTTTCAATTCCACGTAGCCGCAGTGCATTTAAATGCTCCGGCTGGGAATACAAACCCCGAGCCTCTTCCAAGTTGTAGTTGGCAGTAGCGTACAGCTGTACCATTGCCAAGAAGTATTCCACGTTTGAAAATTCGTACTGACGACTCATTTTAGCGCTAATGAATCTAGCGTGCCGTCACGATGTTATGGTATTACTAACCGACTGAAAGCGAAGGACGCCTCACGATTACAGGTGAGTCCCGCGCATGCGCCTACGGGGCAGACGTGATTGGTTGGACGACTCCGGCGCAACTCGGTAGCTTTGTTTTTATTGACGAATACGATTTTATGTGACTCGACATTAAAACGCATAGTATTTCTATTCGTAGTATTTACCTACGTGTGATTGAATAGCTCTACTACTGGTTCTCACTTTTTCTCTGTAAACGATATGAATATCGACTTTGATGATAAAAAATATATATATTTTATTAAATTAACGTTATATATAGCTTCTGTTACTGATAAATAATTCATAATTTTCTTTTCCAAAACGCTTTCAAAATCACTGTGTAGTGTCTCAGATCCTTAGGTATTTCTTTAACAAATCTTCAATGCCATATTATGTCCAGAAGTTGAATAAAAAACTCAATGTGTGTAAATATACATGATAAAATTATATTTTTTTCAGGTCCAAAGTGTGGATATTGCTGCCTTTAACAAAGTGTAATAAGACTTATAATGTTACAATAGAAGATAGCAATAAATGTGCCTTTTTTTCAAGTTGTATTTTTGTTCATAATGTCTATAGACTTTATGCCCAAACACTACTTTTGACTTCAGAGTTCTTCAGCTACAGAAATATTTCTGAGGTTAGAATATTATTATTGATGAAGCGATGCGGTCAGACGGGATGGTGCAGCTTACTAGATATAAGTATTGGAAGTCTGTAGCTTAAAGCAACAGGTACAACTTTACAAGAGTGTGTGAGGCACCATACGAAAAGAGAGAACTGAGTGTGTTATGACGGTGATAGCCCTTCGAAACTGCAGTAACCTTGCAGGGGCTAAAATTAATCATACTATCAGGTGAATTAAGTCAACTAAATAATATGCTTTATTCACCCAGGTGAATTAAGTCTACCAAATAATATTCTTTTTTCACCCAGGTACATTAAGTTAATATTTTTGTTCACCTGTATTGGATAAGTCTACTTAGGAAATGGCGTCAAATTAAACTTCTTGGTATTCTTAAATTATCTTCATCAATAATCTACTACTGTAACTTGTCAATGTCAAACTTATAAAAATAAACTTCATCCGTTGTAATTAGTGTTGCCAAATCAAAAAAAAAATAACTGCGATCGATTGGTTTCTTTATTTATAAAAAAAGAAATTGGTGGGAAAAATATTCCCTCTGACTGTAAAAGGGTTAACGGAGGGTATATTTCCAGCCTTCCTGCGAGAAGTGGAAGTGGAAGTGGTTGAGGGCCTTTTCCCACAACGGGCGGAACACACTCCCCCGTCGATGGCCTCCCTGGCCGGAGACGACGGGGAGCACGGGGAGGACAATGTTCCGCCCGTCCGGGAATCGGAGGTAGGGGCGGCTGTTCTACGGATCCGTTCCAAGAACACCGCCCCTGGGCCAGACGGGGTACCGGCCCGAGTGCTGGCCCTGGCCCTCAACCACATGGCAGACCGCCTCGGGGAGGTGTTCGACGCTAGCTTGGCGTCGGGACGCTTCCCTGAGTGCTGGAAGAGCGGGAAGCTGGTCCTACTGACGAAGCCGGGACGGCCTGCCGATTCGGTCGCGGCCTATAGGCCCATCGTGCTGCTGGACGAGGCGGGCAAATTGTTTGAGAGGGTTCTTTCTGCCCGCATCGTCCGGCACCTCTGCGAGGTGGGCCCCGATCTGTCGGACGCCCAATTTGGTTTTCGGGCGGGGCGTTCGACAGTCGACGCCGTGTTGCGCCTGAGGGCCGTGACCGAAGAGGCCGTGAGCTGTGGCGGCGTGCTGTTGGCGGTGTCATTAGACATCGCCAACGCATTCAATAGTCTGCCATTCAGCTGCATCAGGGAAGCACTCCACTATCATGGGGTGCCAAAGTACCTGAGGCGGCTGGTGGCAGACTATTTAGAGGAGCGTACCGTCGTGTACGAGGACCGAGAAGGTAATCTGAGGTGTCGGCCCATGTCGTGCGGTGTTCCACAGGGGTCTGTTCTTGGACCCCTCTTGTGGAACATAGGGTACGACTGGGCCCTTCGCGCCGATTTCCCCCCCGGGCTGGGTGTAATCTGTTACGCAGACGATACCCTCGTGACAGCCCGGGGGGCAAACTTCCAAGAGGCGGCGCGCCTGGCCACAGGGGGAGTCTCCCTGGTGGTCGGGCGCATTGAGGCGCTGGGCTTACGGGTGGCCCTAGATAAGACGGAGGCCCTGTTATTCCATGGGCCCCGTCGTGGTCCACCCCCTGGCGCCTCAATAGTGGTCAACTCGGTCCTCGTACCGGTTCGGGCCCAGATGAAATATCTGGGCCTGATCCTCGACGGGAGGTGGCTCTTCGACGAGCACTTCCGACAGCTTGCTCCAAAGCTGGTCGGCGCTGCGTCTGCCCTAGGGCGACTTTTGCCCAATATGGGTGGACCCAGCGTCGCGACAAGACGGCTGTACACGGGGGTTGTCCGGTCAATGGCACTGTACGGTGCACCGGTGTGGGCGGCGGCTCTGACCGCCCAGAATAGGGTACGCCTCTGGCGCCCTCAGAGGGTAATGGCGGTCAGAGCCATACGCGGTTACCGCACCGTTTCGACGGAGGTGGCGTGCGCGTTGGCCGGAACTCCCCCGTGGGATTTGGAGGCGGAAGTGCTCGCCGAAGTTTATCGGCGAGTGGCTGACTTCCGGGCGGAGAGCGGATTTCGCCCTCCGCCCGAGGATGTGCGCGAGTGGCGCGAAGCCGCTCGCCGAGCCACGATGGCTCGTTGGTCGTTCCGGCTGGAGACTCCACGCGCTGGCTTCGCCGCCGTGGAGGCTCTCCAGCCGGTCATCGCCGAGTGGGCAGGGCGGCAGCACGGGACCCTTTCCTTCCGACTGACGCAGGTGCTTTCCGGGCACGGTTGCTTCGGGAAGTACCTGCACACGGTCGCTAGGAGGGAACTGAGTCCCGCCTGCCACCACTGCGACTGCAGTGAGGACTCGGCCCAGCACACGCTGGCGGTCTGCCCCGCATGGGCGGCGCAGCGTCGGGCCCTCACTGCAGTCATCGGAGTGGATCTCTCGCTACCGGCCGTAGTACGCTCCATGGCCGGTAGCGACAGTTGTTTTACCGCGGTCGCAACCTTCTGCGAGGTAGTAATCTCGCGGAAGGAGGCGGCGGAGAGGGCCCGGGAGGACGACCTCCACTCGGACCCGATCCGCCGCCGGCGAACCGGGCGGCGGAGGCCCGCCTACCACAGCCTCATGCCGCCCTGAGTGTGGCCGCGGGTGGACGGGGTGGGTTTCCCCTCCACCCGCATTAGTTGGCCAGCCGCGAGGGGGCGGCGTCCGCGTGTGCCGGACGTCGCCTAAAGAGAGGAATAATATCGAGACGGAGCCCGCACCAGGAGCGGGCTGGCGCTAGGAGGGGTCCGGATGTCTTAACAACAGCTGTTCCCGGATCCCTCCTGTTACAGGCGCAGAGTGGCACACCGTGTGGTTTTAGTCGGTCCGAGTCCGACACACCACCCCGCCGCAAACCCCGGAGGGGTGACGGTCCGAGGGGATTTCCACACGTTAAAAAAAAAAAAAAAAAAAAAAAGGGTATATTTCCAGCTGTATTGAAATCAGCCAGGAGAACACCAATACTTAAAGGAAGCATAAAAAGAGGTGTGCGTTACCCCAGCAAAATAATGTCGAAAATGGTCATTTAAATGTTATAGATAATTAGTTGCCCCCTTTCTGTAATTGTAAGGCACATTTTTAAATTTGTTTCACTTATTTCTTTTTAGTTCTTTCAAAAAAACTTCGTAAGGTGTATTACACTAAACATTTTAAAAGACAGCACAATGTACTAGGTGATCGCTTTTTCGTAACCACCTAAACATGGTCGGGTTACCACGGTCTGGCACCTTCTAATGACTTTTATTTAATTATCTCGTAAATTATTATATGTACGACAATAATATTTTACAGGTAGACAACTGAACTAAACAACTAATTATTGGTATAACATTCAGTTTATATATCCACACACAGGTTTATCGGTGGCCAAAAAGTGCCGCACACATTGTGATCGTGAACGTAGAGAGCTACATTTCATTATAACTTTTTAGTCACTAATAGTATACTAACGAAAATTCGTATACATTTGAAGGCAGTTACAAGCAATAGAATAACGTTTAAATTAAGTCTAGAGGTCTTATTCAAAGTGTTAGGACGTATTGAAGTGTTTTCATACTTAATTAAATAATTTTTAAACGGTCCATTATTTTCGTTTTTTATTGTTAAACACATTATAACTAATCCTTAAGAAGTTATGTACAAAAGATGGTTACAATCCGCTTACCCGTTTCAGAGATCCAGCAAACCCACAAACGTTACTCCAGCAGGATCTCGAGTAACTTCGCAGCTGAAGAAAATACAAATACCAAATAAGTTGTAACATTTACCTCGTTCAGATTACTAATTATTTTAACAAACATTTCCTGCTGCAGCAGGAAATGTTTTTTGAAATAATTAAAAAAAATAAGTGAAACAAATTTAAAAATGTGCCCAACAATTACAGAAGGGGGGCAACTAATTATCTATAACGTTTAAATGACCATTTTCGACATTATTTTGCTGGTGTAACGCACACTAAAAGAGATGTAGTTAGTTAATTATCGTCCAATTTCCATCCTTCCCACTTTATCTAAGCTTATGGAGAGACTAGTGCATAATGATATCTATCCACTATTGCAAAAAAACATTCATCCGCAACAGCATGGTTTTGTCCATAAACGATCCACTGTCACTAATCTTTTTATTTATACTTCTGAATTGTTCGACAGTATAGACGCTAATATGCAAACTGATAGTGTCTATACAGACTTTCCGAAAGCGTTTGATCGTGTCGATCATAGAATATTGCTAGAAAAATAGTATGAGCGTTAACAGAAACGTAGTAATGAGGGAACTGCATGACACTGAACTAATATGTTTATAATACCTACATAATACTGAGAAATGTACATTTGTCTGAAATACTCTCAACCTGCTAAAAATAGTGGATGGATGTCACAATTAGCAATAACGTATAGCTTAAAACTATTGTAAATGTACCCAATAAACTAAAAAAAAAACAAGTGTACGATTGCCATAACTTCCGAGGTGAATATTTTGTAAAATATTCATCTGTAACTTATAATTCTTTTTTCTACAAATTTAGTCTTCAACACGAACGTATAATAAAAGTTGAACAGTCTCGCTAACAAAAAACTGTGTCACTGATAGTCGGTCAGCTCGCTGTACGTACAGGCTGGTACTCGCAGTACGCACATTTACAGACATTAGTCGGCATTACGCGGCGAAAACATAAATATACAACATGTTTTGCGTAGTGAAAAGCTGTAAAAACAGCACTGAGAGAAAGAAAAATAATCCAGGAATCACGTTTCATAGGTAAATGAATAACTCAATCACTTATTTCCAGATTTTATACATTAAAATTAATCAGCATTCGCTAGAACAAAATAATTCATTGTAAGCCCAGTTTTGCCACGTGTGCAAATTACCCGAAACAGGAATTTTTTGTTTGATTTTAAAATCAATTTATTAAGGTTATTTATTTAATAGTAACTACTAGGTATACTATTTCATATTCTTTTACGAAATTGTATAGAGAAATGATTGGATTCAAATAATTAGAAATTGTAATGGTGAACAAAAATACAACACAAATTTATTCTAATTAAAATTCTAGAAAAGTTTGTTGGCAGTGAGAGCATTTTTTAAACTTAGAATCTAGACATACTTTCGTCGGAATAGAACACAATAAGTGTTATTAAATATGTCTCCACATCTCGAAATTAAAGGAAATTTCAAGAACCTCTCAAAGTAAAAGACATAATTACAAAAAAAAATTACAGCATTTGGGACATTAAACAGTAAAATTCGAACAAATAAAATAATTGGGTAACTTGGCATCCCCAAAATTCATTCCCACACAAAGAGCTGCCGCCATTGCGGTGCCTCAGTTTTGTCTTAGCGGGAGTTCCGTCCGACTTTTTTATAGGTCCATTATATTGGACTCAAGGGGCGCTGTATGCTTTTACATGCATAGAATGAAGTACAATATGCACGGAATAATGCGACTTTGAACACACTCGAACAGAGTGCAAACTTGCGAACTATCATGTTAGAGCGTACATTAAGTCAAAAAAGTATTGGGAATGGATGATTTGCTTATGGTTCCAAATTCAAAAATTTTCTTTTTTTTTGTTGTTGTTAGATTGGCACAACTGTTTTCCATTTTGGCGCAGAGTTTGAGTTGCATCTGTTATTTATATTAAATACAGTGCTATTTTAGTTATATCATATGTAGTGTGTATTGCGCATTTCATAATGGACAAAAACATCGAACAAAGAGTTTGTCTAAAATTTTGCATCGCCTATGGAATTTCGTGTTCGGATTCACTGAAAATGTTACTGAAGGCTTACGGTGAATCGACTTTATCACAAACACGTGCTTATGAGTGGTACAAAGCTTTCAAACCCGGTTGAGATGTGATGGCAGATTTGCCTCGCTCTGGTAGGCCATCAACCTCTGCAACTGAAGTTAACATAGCAAAAGTGAAGGAAATAGTGACTGAAAATCCTCATTCAACTTTAAGAGAGATAGCCGCCGAATTTTCTTTATCTCACGAGTCGATTCGTACCATTTTAACTAATCGTTTGGGTATGAAACATGTTACCGCTCAGCTAGTCCCAACAGACCTGAATTTTCTCCATAAAATCAATCGCATGAGATTCGCTGAGAATATGCTAGAACGAGTCAATTCTGACCTAACATTCATGAAACGCATTGTTAGTAACCCTGTATACATTAAAATACTATAGGTACATAATACATACATACGAGTACTACAAGTTTCTTCTAATTTCCCTGACTTTATTAGGTTTTGGAAGCAAGATACTCAAATCCGCTGATTTCTTTACTAAGTTCTTTAAATACCGCCTTAAATGAAAACAGTCTTATTTGAGCTCACATGAATTTATGTCTATGAAACCGATTGTTGTTATTGAGAACGAAAATATATTACCATTATATTACATCAACATTTGAAAAATCGTTTTATTTTGGGGATAAACGTCCCTACACATAAAAAAACTTATGTATCTTCAAAAAATTGACACTAGTGCTGCAAATTAATATTGAAATATTACAAAAAATATATTGAATAAGTTATTGACAAAATCGATCAGATTATTGTTGCAGCGCCCATGGCTAGAGTTATTCTGTGAGCAAGCTTGTTTTGTTTATAAGACCCAAAAAATCATTCCTCCGTTAGATGTATAGTGTTTTTTATTTGTTAGATATATTCGCTGCCGGGGCCTCCGTGGCGATAGGGCCCTGGGCATGGGCCCCGCGTGCCCTTATGGTAAAGACGATACTGAACCCAACCATGTTTAGACTGTTATAAAAAAGCGATTGCGTAGTACATACCAATTGGTATAAGGTTTGTTACAAATTTTCCTTCTCTTTGTAGTGCTATTGTCCTGAGTAGTATGCTCCCTTAGCCAGCCCTTACTTACTTGATAGCCTTGTAACTTTAAATTTGGCTAAATGGCTTTGTGGGGCAACCATAATTTTACCAATATTGCTATGTATCCAGAGGACGAGCTTTCACAATCTATTGTAGTCTTTGGTCACAATCATTTTATTATGACTCTTCTTTATCTGTATAGGCCGTCACAGCTGTCATCTGTCATTGTGTATGTAACACACACTGACTATTGAGTAACACATTTTCCATTGTTTTCTGTCACATGTTAACTACTTACATAGCTGAGCTGTACCCACTTACTTTTATTTATCTTACCGTCCACTCTTAAAGCACAGAGTATATTGAATAATAAGAGAGCTTAAAGTGAAAACAACTTCTAGTTTTGACCTAACGATAAGGTTATTACAGTTATTGAACTTGATTCAAGTTTTGATCTTTATTTGGAAACTAGGCGCTAACATGATCTGCAAGAAATGTGATTCACCCAAAACTGTAGTATTAAGACAGAAAGATTTTTACTGTGATGAGTGCTTTATGATCAGTACCAATCACAAATTTCGTGCATGTTTAGGTAAAAATAAAATACTGGCACCAAATGAAAAGGTTTTGATCTGTTTGTCAGGAGGTGTGAGCTCCTCAGTCTTATTGGATTTAATTCAATATGGTATATCTTTAGAAAACACCAAGAAATTACGGATAGTCCCTTTTTTCATTCATATATTTGGTAAGTGTTCTGCATTAATTAATTAATTAATATATCTCATCACCTCCATACTTAAAAATAGATGTATTCACAGCCTCTACTTGTTCTCAAACCTTAACTTGTACCTTTTGAACATTGCTTGTCATTTCAAAATTATATATTATTTTAAATATGTAAAATTTTATTCATTAAAACTGTAACTTAGCAATCATATAAGTATGTGTATTTAAGTGTGTATGTTTGTATATCTGTCCACTGTTTCTGTCCATCTCAAATATTATTATCTTTTTAAAACAAAAAAAACTTAATTACTAGTGCACCTACTCAGACATTTCGCCACCACCCAAAGGTAGACTGGGAGTAAATGCCTGTGGTGTTAAGTCCACCTTGGTACAATTAAGTTTTAATTTGTGCATGAAGATTTAAAATTAAAAAAAAAGAGACACAACCATAAATTAAAATGACTTCTTTAGCACTTATAATTGAAACTTTTATGATTTCAGATGTTGAAAGTAAAACTGCGACAGATTTTATATTAGAACAATGTAAAAAATACAATTTTAATGTATATATGGTACACCTCTCGGACTATCTAAATACAAGTTGTCAGTTACCAGAACAGAACTGCATACCAGAAGTCAATTGCGATGTAGCAAATCAATTTCATAGCATGCAAAATAGCATGCCACCAACAGCAAGGAATGATCTTCTTTTGACAATAAAAAGGACTTTGTTTATTAAATATGCCAAATTGTTACAATGTAATATTGTATTCACGGCTGAGACATCAAATACTTTGGCAATTAAGTTGTTGTGCAATCTTGCAGTTGGCAGAGGATCACAAGTTCAAAATGATATTGTAAGATCTAGTTATCTTTACATTCTTATTACCTACCTACTAATCACTTTACTTGCTTTTTAAAATCTATTTATTAAAAATACGATTTCATTTACGTGGTTATTTTGGGAATGCTCGACTAGCTTTGGACCCGGCAGTATGTGTCACTCCTTGAAAAAGTAGGTACTTTGACTGTCTCGTAATCTTTGTACCGCCCTTACAAAAATTCGACAGTCCGTAGGACATACACGATTGATTCCATACCGCGGTTTGTCCGTAAAGCTAAAGATGCGTTTTGATAGAGTTCCCCGTAAATTAACATCATGTCAGGATATTCCGCGGCGGTGAAGGTCACTCACGGCATTATGGATGTTGATACCGATAACCCAATTAAATAAAAAAGACTGATAATTCACTCAGTTTCACACAGAACCTAAAATTGACAAACTTCAAAATAAAATTTTCGGGACTCGTTACAACAGAAAGTCTTGCGCACACGATAACATTAATTGTTCAGACCAGATGAAAGCAATAAGACTAAACAATTATTAACACAACAAAACTTTTTCAAACAAATATCTCACGAACAACAACAATATTGGTATTACGCAAATTTTTAGTGAGCGCATCTTCAAGGATATAGAACAGCATAACACTCGCCGATGGCCAAGGGCCGACTAACTGGACTTACTGGATGTACTAATTAAAAACGCTTGTTCTTCATCCTGATGACGCAATAATCAACATATTCGGTTCGATTCGAGTGTAGTAAAAGCGGCAACGTGTGATTACCGCGCCGCGTATACAGCTGATCGCCGCCTGAGGTCAATGTAGTATGACTGCATTTACACATTACACATGATGTTGCAAATTACGAAAACAAAAAAAATTACCCGTTTCTAAACCACTGAATATTTTGCAAATCGTCTAGAAATAAAGTGCAGAATATGCTGTTTACAGATTCGTTAAAAGGTACATCACAGTCTGTATAAGTCCTTGCTGTACGTCATAGTTACAACATTGATTATTGTAAAAATGGCCTGTTCAAAATGATATTTATTTTTGACCCATTGAGTAAATTACTTCAGGTTAACTTCATCAATCAAGCGAATCATAATTATCCATGGACGACGGGTATGATTTCGTCAGAAAAGAATATAAAAATTCGGTCACTCATTTTTTTTTTATTTCATAAAAAAATTAAAATTATTTTAAATCGTCTCTTGTGTAGACTAAAGTCATAAAGACATAGATCAACACACAATAGCAACAATTTCTGTTTTGTGAAATATTAACCAAACTAAATATGTACATATCGAAAATCTCTTATATGCCTGTGCCGATCTACCACCGCCCATTTTCAAGGGGTTGAGCCTCGTGAGAAGAAAGGGCAAACAAACTTACGGCCACTCTTTTCAATCGACAGATAACAATGGCATCATTAAATATACACATCATTCTTTGGATGTGTGCCAGTATGTAAGTTTTAAGGAGTAAAAGGTAAAAAGCCAATAAAGAGAAAACAAGATATAGAAAAAAGATGGAATAAAAAAGAAAATGAAGTAAAACAAATGGAAAATTAAATAACACAAGACACACTAGCCCATATCACATTTCCACTACGAAATAGCCTGTTCTAAATTAGTTCTGACATAGTTTACGTTTTATTGTGGATTTAAATTTGTTTATAACTACTAAAATCTTGTATAGAATCGGACACATCGACCTCGAAATTACTTGTTTATCTTTTGGAGCCTAAGGCCAGGTACAACACGTTTATTTCTATTTCGGGTATTAAAAGCATGTACATCACATCCTTTCAAGAAGCTATCTTATTTTTATTAACATATATTGCCTAAATTGTAAAAAGCTCGAATCTCTCTTTTGCAGCACAAAAATAGTTTGAAAGTCGGCAGCATTCCCCACAGTAGAATACCGTACGACATCATACTATGAAAATAATTGAAGTAAACAAGTCGTATCAGTAAATTCTCGAATTCTTCTGGCTGCGTACGCTGCTGAGCTGAGCCTACGATAATTTATGTACATATGCGTGGACCCCACTGTAGCTTAGAATCTAATGTTATTACTAAAAATGTCGTGGTATCCACAAGGTTTAGTTCGACATCTTCAATCATCATAGTGGTTTTCACTGTTAATGTAACTCAAGGTTTTTTATCTTAGTTTATTCAAATTATGTGTAGACATTTATAAGATTAATAATAAAAACGTCAACGAATAATGAGAGTAATCACTATTACTTATAATTTTAATAATAACTATTATTGTTAATCAGGTATGTTTTTTTTTTTTCAAATATTCAAGAATTTCTCCGATAATTCAAAATTTCATTTTAAATACATAACATACAAAATAAACGATTTATTACTAACTACTTCTTTTGCTATTATGATGTACTCAAAGGGTTATTGGGAAAGTCCTAAAACACTAAGGTTTTATTCCACACATGATGTTACACAAATATTTGTTGAATTTTCATCATCACTAAAATGTATTTTTAATTAAATTAGCAATTTTTCCTCAAAAGCTTTTTTAACTACTTATTCCGTTAGTTTCAGAATAGGCATGTTATTGCCAATTTTTAATACAAGTTGCAAATTTTTGAAAAAGATGTTTCGTTAAAGTGTGTACAACACACACACATGTGTGTGTGTATACTACCACGACCTTCTTCTAGAATAATATTCACTTCTTTATGCAATTCTAATGTACAGAATAGGGCATTTCTAAGTTCAACTATCGCCGTCTGCAGCAATATCGGGGGCTACATAATCAGGTCCAAAATCCATGCTTCACAGCTGCCTGCTTTTCTTTGGTTATTTTTAACTGTAAGTTTCTGAAAAATTATAAACAGAAATGCCTCATGGCGCCATTCTGTTTTCTGTTCGTTGCAGCAGGCTGCACATTTAGGGAAGACAATATGTTTAACCGACATAAAAAACACCAAAGGTAGAAAATTTTATGTAATTTTAAAATTATATAGCCAGTGTTTATAAGAAGACATTTTAATGATAAAAATCGGGAATATTTTGGTTTGTTCGCAGGGTTTCTCTGATACTCGTGATGAAAAAGTGCGAATAATAAGACCCATGAGAGACATTAGCAAGGAAGAATTGGATTACTATATCAAAATTAAGCAATTATATCCCATTTGTAACAGTAGTATAAATAATACTAACAGCTTGCAGTCTGTTATTGCTTCTTTCGTCTTTGATCTTCAAGAAAATTTTCAATCTACCATTTCAACAGTCTGTAAAACGGCAGACAAAATTGGTGTGTGTGCAGATAGAACCTTAGGAAAATGCTTAATTTGTGAGGTAAGTCAGAAAATAATTTTTTGGCTGTTTTCTTATATTGCTCATAATTCCTAATGCATTTCGTTTATTCGTCTGTTTGGACTATCACTTTTTGTTTTTGTTTCCACTGTCTTTCACCAGTTAGTTGTCGGTAGAAGTACGTCGTCGCACAGTGTCTCGAATAGTACAAGCTAGCGGGACAATATTATTTTTTCAGTTATTTCAATTGTTTATGTATGTATATTCCAAAAAAAAAAAGTTGAAAAATGAGTACTGTATGTGTCTCATTTGCTCACTATTGTCGCTAATTGTTCTTTAATTAGCTACGTCTACCTACTCATTATGTGCGTAAAGCACGATCATGTTTGTTTACAAAGAAATTTCTAGAAAAAAAAACATAATGATAGTACCCACAGTTATTAATTTCACATCACATCAACAGCCTATAATATTCCACTGATGGACATAGGCCTCTCCTTAGAAAGGAGGTTTTGGCTTACTATAACACGCTGGCCAGACGGCTTGGTATAGGGTTTGTGCCAAGGTTTCCTTCTCTCCTTATTAATTTCCAAAATATTATTTCTTTTAAAATAAATTAGTACAATAACAGTATCTATAGGTATATCAATTATTTACAATAACAAGGTGTATAAGTAAAATAAATGTAATATGAAATAACTTATATACTAAGGCATGAATTATAAGCAACCACAACACACAATAAAATAAGAATAATAATTACAATAAAAAATACTTAAACTAATCACCATCAGATAAGTAGTCATCACCGCTTTTCCATTCAGTAGTATATTCAGAGAATAAATAAATAACTGCAGAACCTCCAATGGCAAAGAAGTAAATTTTCTTCGCGGTAATTCTCTATGTGAGGTGATAACAGGATCAGACGTAATTAAAAGCATTCGCAAAAGATCTGTGCCCCGAGCACGAAAAAATGTCGAATGCGTATCGTAAACGTATCGAGTCTTCGATACGTTTACGGAGTTTTACGATAGGCGGTAGCACGAAGCACTAACGTTAAGGTATCGAGAGCTCGATACGATTACGTTAGTGACGTCATCCTAACGTAAATAAGGATGTGCACTTAAGAACGAATTCAACATCTTATTGAATGAACTATGCGTTCGAAAACATAATGAAATAGTGATTTTTTTATTACTTTCGGTTAAACTACCTATTTATTGACAATTAAAACAAAATTTACTTATATAAACACATAATAAATCTTAAATTAGGTATGGGAGATTTTAAAATGTAGTATATTTTGGAGAATTAAAATAATTATTATGACATTTTTTTCGGTTTCTGAATAACACGTCTCCGCTTGACAATTTATTGACATAGATACGACGCTATGTCTATAAATTGTTTATTATTTTTATTGTAAATTCATCTCCAAGTTTAAGATTATTTGTAAACCTTGAAACTTATTTAACTTATTTTACCATTTACAATACGTGGCTATGGTGTAATTTCTTGAAAGGTGAGTTTATTTAATTTACTATTTGCAATAATCAATGTACTGTAATATAAAATAACGATGTGATGTTTGAGAATATGATAAATTTCATATTTATAATTCAATTTCTCGTTGTTATGAGACTTACACTGCTACTTGACATTAAAATAAAGTTTCAATTGTAAATATAGATAACATCTGTCACTTTATAAATGAAAAATGAAATGAAAAGAAATTAAAAACACCACCACAGCAATCCTACAGATAAACATACCAGGGACAACTAATGTCTCATATCAGTCAATCTAGGTTTCATAGTACAAGTTCTACTTAGTTTGAAACTATGTATATGGTGTTGTGTGTCAGATGTCTGAAAATATTATATTCGTTATTATATAAGTAATAAATGTTGTAATATTTTGTTGTAGATTGGAATACTGGGGGCTCAAGCAGCCAACCAACTGTGGCTCCTCCTTTACCAGCATCTGAGGTTCATTCTCAGTCTTCTCCAGTCACCGCAGTGGCAGAGGAGTGGAAGCCTCCAGAAAAAAAAAACTCATAAAAGCAATGATATTTTAACCGTTAATTGAATCGTAATCGTGTGAAATAAAATTAAAATTATTAACCAGACATATAATTTTTTTCAAAGTAAATAATGTTCTCTGTAAATAACATGTGTGTATGTAATGTATAAAAACCAACTCTGTATGATTCATTTTAAAATAATGGTAAATAAAAAATATTCATACTAGCTCATTTTTTACTATATGCCTTTCATCCCTGTCTGCTGTGGAACCCCCTCTATCTAACCAAATTTGGTACGAGCCCAGCAATGCCGCTTTGGAAATTTGTTCAAGGAAAAAGCTTACTGAAGCAATCCAAGGTCTTTAAACAGGTTATAGAGGGATTTAACTGGTATACCCCTCGCACCCACTTCCACGGCATACAACGCAACGAAATAACCATTTTTAGTTATTTCGTTGGTTTAGTCAAACTACTTCTTAGCTTCAAGCGATATACATATTTTGAAATTCGTTGTCATTACCCGAACAAACAGACAGACAAAAAATATTTAGACTGGTTTTTAGGCAAGATATCTATTGCAAAAAACCGTGTGAGCATGAAAAAAACCTATTATTTTATATTACAAACAGACAAATTTTTCTTCACTTTTATCTTTCTTTGTTTATCTCTTCGCCTTATTTCACTAAAAAATAATTAATTAGATTAATATATATATATATATAAGTACATACTTAGTATAATACATTATATTAATATAGTAGAAGTTTCTTCAAATGTTTCTGACAAATTTTTAGTTTACACTTTATAGATAAAACAAGATTTGCTAACCTCGAACCTAGTTGTTGAATACCCTTATTTTCAATTCAACTTGCGACAAGAACATACATAGGACTAAAGAGGCGGTCTTTGCATTTTATCTCTACAAAAAAATTAACCGTTAATACTTGAAAATAATAGTTTTAAAAGAAATTGATTGTTTCGAAACATTTCTCACGGCCAAATCTTAGGTGAATAAACATTCGACTAAGCTCGACAGGTGCTCGATAGCCAGCCTTCGAACGTACGTCAAAATTTCTTTCGTGCTGCCAATTTTCTTTATAAAGTGTAACGTATCGAATGCTTGACGATACGTTGACGATACGAAAGTAAATTCGAAACGTTCGTGCTGCCAAAATTAGTTACTTTTACGCACGATAGGGGCGCTGCACAAATGTCATACAAATTTTGTCGAAGACGATACGAATACTTTTTCGCAAGTTGTTCGTGCTCGGGGCACTGTATTTGTGGCAATACGTGACCGCTTCCTGGTGTCCCGTTCTCCGTGAACGACAGTCTTTATTTCTTGTCTCCTGGACTTCTTCGGAGAGTTGTCTAATGGGAAGAAGAAAAAACTTTACAACTTCCGCGCTGTTTACAAGAATTTTATGCTCAGTAACGGGCATGGAATACCACGAATACAGATCAAGGTATAATTTTCTAGTATAAACACAAAACCTTTCGAATTCTATATAATTTATGTCATACCCCGATGACAAAATTCTTAAAATTACATGAAATCTACGAATAAGGTTTACGTCTAATCCTGTAATTTCGCTGCTCAATTCAGTTTTGGAAAAAAATCTACGTGCTGTGTTTCCATCGTTTGTGTTACCATACCCAGGTTTTGGTTTATCTACAATGGGACCCATACGACCTTAAACACTTTTTTTATCTCTTGTGAGCGTTGCTTCACAATAGCTTTGTCGTTATCTCCCCTGACTTGCCACTTTTTTATTTCTGAACGATAGCTGATGTGAAGCAAACATTCAAGCGTGCGGATCCATGCATGTAAAGTAGGTAAACCAAATGCAAGGCGTACTTCATTGCTGGGATATTTATTTGACTCCTCGTTCATAGTAGACGGGTGGAACTGCAAATATAACATTTTTGTGTTGAACTTGTGTCTGTTGCACACTGCCATCAGTCATTGTCATAAACAAATCGTGTTTAACAGAGATTTGAGATCCAGCAACGTTACATAATGTTGAGAGAAGCTGACTTACTTCATCAAAAATTTTAGAAGTTTCTTCTTTCGTAAACTTTTTTGTCTTCTTGTCAAAAATAAACTTAATAAACAAATAAAAAACTTAAAAATAAAGTAAAGGAAGGTCTTACATTTTGCCAGATCACAGTTTCGCCATCAAACAGTCTCCAAGGGATAAATGAGTATACGAACAAAAATTCGACAGTAACGTTAGTGTTCTCAAATTTCTGCTTATAAGTGCTATGCCCCGAACTCCCATCACAGCCCCGTTTGCTTACCAATGTATAACATGAACGAGGTAACACACTTCTAATTACTTCCGTCTGAGCTTTAACTAATTGTTCAGCCGTTTTATCCAAAATCGCCTGAAGTTTAATTTCAGCTCGAAATTCAGTCACAGAAATATATTCGTCAGAAGGACAACAAGAAGCTTCGGACTTACCTAAACTATAAAACGATGAATACACTTGATGTCCCGCTTTCATTGTTCACTTGATTGTTTATATGAGTGAGAAGTCGAGTCCACATAATAAGCTAAAGCTTCGTCTGGTGTTAACTGCCGACTTTGTTCAGAACACTTATTTTTTTCTCTAGTTTCACTGACCGCGACGTTAAGGATCTGGGCCTCAATTCTGCTATTTTAGGTTCACGCCAAGCCACTGTCATACCACTGACACGCTATTGAGATGCCATCGAGTGGCCATTGGCATCGGTATAAATATCGGGAGTTGAAAATATATTACGTTTTTTGAGGAAATGATTTATTTATTTTTATTATAATAAATTATTAAAAGAATTAAATAAATAAAAATAAATTATTAAAAAAATAAAATTATAAAAAAAAGAAATGCTGCCAATGGCCACTCGATGGCATCTCAATAGCGTGTCAGTGGTATGACAGTGGCTTTGCGTAAATATAAAATAGCAGAATTGAGGCCCTGTTTAGCAACACTTCGATGCCCCTCTTTTCGAGTAGCTAACTCAGCTGCTGTAATA